GAGATCTCCCTGGAGATGGATGATGAGCCACCTGATAGATAATTGTTAAGGATTAAAGAGCAGACCAATATGTGTAACATTGTAGTGGGTGTCTGCTAAAGGCCGCCTGATCAGGAAGATCAAGTGGATGAGGCTTTCCACAGAAAGCTTGTCCTGATTTCAGCTGGGATAGAGTTAATTTTCTTCCTAGTATCTAGTACAGTGCTGTGTTTGAGCTTTAGTCTGGGGACAATGCTGATAACATACCAATGTTTTAGTTGTTGCTAAGTAGCTCTTATCCTGATCAAGGACTTTTAAGTCTCTCATGCTCTGCCACTGAGGAGGAGTACAGGAAATTGGGAGGGAGCAGAGACAGGACACCTGACCCAAACTAGCTAAAGGGGTATTCCATACCATAGAATGTCATGCTTAGCATATAAATGGGGGGGAACTTAGCTGGAAGGGGCAGATCGCTGCTTGTGGATGATCTGGGCATTGGTCAGCAGGTGGTGAGCTATTGTGCTGTGCATCACTTGGGTTTTTTTTGAGGGATTTATTTCTTTTTCTCTCTCTATTTTCTAATGTTATTGTCATGGTTATAATTAAATTGTGTCCTGGGTTCAGCAGTAGCAGTCATTTTTCTCCTTCTTAGTAGCTGGTGCAGTGCTGTGGTTTTGACTTTCAGCCTGGGAGCAACGCTGATAGCACCGATGTTTTCAGTTGTTGCTAAGTGATATTTACTCTGACCAAGGACTTTCTGAGTCTCATGCTCTGCCAGGGAGGAGGAGCACAGGAAGTCGGGAGGAAGCAGAGACAGGACACCTGACCCAAACTAACCAAAGAGGTATTCCATACCACAGCACGTCATGCCCAGTATATAAACTGGGGGCAGTTACCCAGAAGGGCTAGATCACTTCTCGAGTCGGGCTCGGTATTGCTCAGCGGGTGGTGAGCGGTTGTATTCTCTCTCCTTGTTATTTCCCTTATCATTCTTATTATTAGTGGTAGTAGTAGTGGTTTTGTGTTATACCTTAATTACTGGACTGTTCTTATCTCAACCTGTGGGAGTTACATTCTTTCGATTCTCCTCCACATCCCTCCGGGAGCGGGGGAAGGAAGAGGGGGGAGTGAATGAGCAGCTGGGTTCTGGGTTGCTGGCTGGGTTTAAACCACAACATATTGTTATATTGTTGCATTGTTACATTGTTATATTGCTATATTGTTATATTTTACTTCATTTCTTTTCTCAACCCAGAGAATTGGGACAGGGATATCTGGGGAGATTCTGACAAGAGTAGTTCTGAAGAGGTGGAAGAACTGGAGGAAAGGAATGTGCAACCTCTTATTAAAACTGAAAGGCACATGGGTCTGCAAAGTGCCAACCCCCGAACCACACTGGGTACAACTCCCTGGTCGGGACCTGAGCTCAGTGAATTGCAAATTAATTTTTTGAGTAAACTGGGTGAAATGGAAATGGAGTATTTGTGGAGAGTCTCTCTGATGGGGGGAGATTTGGTATTGTTAAGTGATGAAGAAGCGAGTGGGGTTTGGGGTGCAGGAGTGGTTTTGAGTGATCACTCAATAACCTCCAGAGTAGCTTATTGAGCTGGGGGCATAGACCCCAGGGAAAGAGGAGAGCCTGTCACTGCTCAAGTGAAAGGACTATCAGAGCTACTGGAAGGAGTACAAAAGGTTGCTTGCATCCAAGCACTGTATGAGACAGGGTGTTGCAGAATGGCCCTAAGAGCAAGGCCATGGAGCCTTAGAGGCCTGTGCGAGCAAGGCAAGGGGCAGGCCCCACAGGTAACCGGATACCGGATGTGGGAGGAGAACGTGGAGGAAGCTGTGTGGGTCTAACCAATACTGTTGTGCCAAGGAGGAGTGGCTGAATACCACTCCTATATATAAGTGAACTGCGTCACAAATAAAGTAGAAGTTTGCTTATCACCCATATTGGGTTGGCCTGTCTGCTTCTCCTCGCCGCTTACAAATGGCGCCCGAACAGGGACCATGGAGTAATGGGCCCCGGCTACCGGGGACCCGGAATACAGGGCCCCGGTTAGCGGGGACCCGGATTACAGGGCCCCGGTTTAACGGGGACCCGGAATAAAGGGCCCTGAGTATCAGGAACCCGGAACGGCAAGTGAGCGGCGCCGACGGCAGCGGCCGGGGAGCGCGGGCAATGCTGCTGTGGTGGCGTGACGGACCCGGGTGCTTGGACTAACCGAAAGGAATCCGCCGCTGGGGCAAACCAGACACTGCTGCGTCGGGAGGCCGATCCGGAGACCGAGGTTACAGGACGATCAAGAAGAAGATGATCCGGAAAAGGCCGGCCATGAAAACATGTTGTGTATATTATTGCACAACCAATAAAAATAAATATTCTCAGGATAGATGACACACATATAACAGACATAAAAATGACACAAACAATTTTAGATAGGCTGCATCTTTTGCATATTACTTCCACAATTCATATTGAAGTTTCTTGCTAGATCATCCATTTTAAAATATTGCTCATGGGTAGTTCTTGAAAATTCTTTACAAGCCCATAAAATTACAAACTTTATTCTTAAAAAAACACACACAAAAAAAAACCAAACCACAAATGAAAATCCCCCCAAAAAACCCACTGAATGTATATATGAAAATCCCCATCTATGTTGCTTTTCAGTTTAGAAGTAGATGCTATGTTTACAGTTTAAAGATATGCCTTATAAATGAACAAAAGAATAAGCAAAGCTCTTTAGCCATACATAGCAAAGACACAAATGAAAGCCATTCAAACCTAATGTAACAGGAAGAATCTGTAAAAAGTTTTTACAGTTTTATATGCTTGCAAATAAAGCTGGACCTTTGAAACAAAAAATACTCTAATGATAAAACAGAATGCTTAATATAATAAATAATTTTAATAATGCTAATTTTTCAAGCTCCCAAATCTTAATTAAATTCACTATTAAATATTTTCTGTGAATTACCTTTTTTAATGAAAAATACATCTAGTGACACTCTGAGCCTGGGATAATTTAGTCTCATTGCCATTGAGGATAATGCTACAAGGTACCTTTTTACCACAATTATTTATTCATGTATGTGTCTGTAAAAATTACTTCACAGTAATGCTGACTTCATTAAGATCAAAATAAATTAATCATGACCTCATCAGGATTCAAGAAATATCTATACTGAGCCAAACTTTCAGATTCAAAAGTTAAATAAAAGAGACAAGTCAGTATTTATCCAATGTAATATTGACATTAAATCAACTGTTTCTTAAGCTTCAAAGTAAAACTGAACTTTGACCCTAAGACTTGCCTCTGACAGGAATTCAGCTGTAGTCTAGTCTTTCTATAAAGCTAAAAAGCAAATAAATGGTGCAGGACACCATCCCATCCCTCCCCATGGGAAATAGTTTTTGTAATGAAGATATCTATTGTGACATGATGTGAACAATAGGGTTATGGTTGGGGTTTTTTTGTTTGTTTTCTTTTTAAAAGCACTGCTGAGGTTAAACACATTACAAAAGCAGATACATACAATTATGAGTAATCACCAGCTATAGGTGTTAACACTGGCTACAGATGTGTACCTAGATAAACAGTTTTAAATATATTCGTATAGCATCGCAACAAATTTGAGTCATTCCAAACATAGTTACAAACTTGCAAACATATATTCTATACTATAGACGTCTAGAGCAAGATTTAGAACTGAATGGCAGAGAGTTTTCTGAATTTACATTTGTAACTGCTAACTTCTTTCGGTTGGAGAGCTACACAGGGAAACGCTAAAATACAAATAAACTTCAACAGCACTGCATCAACATCTGATCTTGCAATAAGGTTACACAGCGTGCATATACTGAGGTAGACCAATCACAAATATATTTACTAAACCCTTAGACTGTGGCTGAACAACGAATTAGGCATTTACATGGTCTACGGACTTGAGCTCCATGTCTCTGTCAGGTACATTAGGTGTGCATGGAGGATAGGTGTTTATAACCATATTTGCAAACTCTGGAGTCCTCACAAACTGGAACCAGCTCCTGATTTACACTGGGAAGTATACAATAATATCCACATGAAGAGCTCCAGAAAGGCCTATTATGTTAACTTACATATACATCCTGCATTCAATATTTTGTGAAAAACTGTCAAAACTAGAGACTAATTAGAACTTGCATGTCCTCTTCTGTCAGTTCTATTAATGCTAAAACCAGATAAAAGATAAATTGTAGGTAAGGGAGTCCAGAAACAGTACAGCAAAACCAGAGCAAACTTCTAATTCCATCACATACACATTCTCTAAGCCTTGACATCCTAACCCAGGTGTTCAAATGTAGTACTACCACATTATCGTTTGCAGAGATGGTAGTACTCCAGTGGCCTCCATCCCCATAGTTCAGTAGACATTCTCTTTGCATTTCTCTCAATTTCTTCACCATTCACCATCTATGGCCATAAATGAAAACAAGGGCCCCAGGGATGGAGCATTCCCAAGGAAGTTGTGAATGCTCCATCCCTGTCAGTATTGAAGGCCAGGTTGGACAGGGCTCTGGGTGACATGGTTTAGTGTGAGGTCCCCCTGCCCATGGCAGGGGGGTTGGAACTAGTTGCTCTTAAGGTCCTTTCCAACCCAAACCATTCTATGATTTGATGATTCTATTTCCTAAGACAAACAAGTGAACTTAGAGATTCCCTCTAGCAACAGCTGAACTAGGAAAAGAAGAACTGAGAAGTTCAATTAAGAAAAACACGGAAGATGAGCAGGCATTAAGATTTAGAATACTTGAATAAGCCTCTTATGAGATCAACCTCCTATTATCAAGTAACATTAAGCAATGCTTTCTTGAAAGGTAGGGGAGCACAGCCAGAAGAAGCAGGACAGTGCTAACAGGTATACTGATTTTCCTAGCCATTGACATTTTATGAAATAATAAAGTGTTTGATATAACTGCTATTTTCAGCTGACAGGAAAACTCAGAGCTGGAGGCTGCCAATAAAATTGCTTCTTATTTTCAGTTACTTAAGTCTCCATGTCAGACACGCTCACATCCATGCTATATATAATGCTATGCAGCATACAGCTTGCAGAAGTAACTCTCAACTATTAACACATTTTTATGAAGCTGACTATCTTAAAAAGCCTTTCAATCAATGTAGTCAGCACTGCTAAGCACTACTGAAGGTGGATTCTCTAAGGTGCATGCATGTCTGTACACAGACACACAAACACATATGGCAGTTTGCTTCTCTCAGGGATTGACACAAGCAAAATTATCCATTAAGGCCAGAGGGTGCCCCTGTAACCTAATCTGACCTCAGAGATAAATAGTAATTGAGTTCTAAACAGCTATGGTTTCATACAGAAAACAGTAAAAGAAACACAGAAATGGTTTGCAGTTACCTGAAGAATTTTTAACTAGTGAAATGGAAACTTGCGCAACGTCAACAAAAGGTACCCAACAGCTAACGAAATAGCAAATACTCCCTAAACTAAGATTTTATTTTTGCAAGCCCATATTATATGACATATTTGCTTTAAAACAATTTCACAAGTTCATCACTGATAAGTATTTGTTATGATCAGATGTAACTTATGCCACGGCAAAATATTAAGGCATATTTAAAAAAAATCAAGTGAACTCATTTAAAATCAACATGCAAAGGGAGGATATTAAAACATTACTGAAGAACAAACATTGTGAAAAAATAATGAAGCAATTGGATCTCCAGGCTTTTAGGAAGTTTTTAATTCAGCATAATAAATATCACCAGTCACTGTATCATTAGCTATGTTCAATGCTCTATAGAACGGCTTGATTAAAGCTCACATAATTGGGAATAACTACATAAAACAAGAACACCTCAGAAAAACAATGAAACAAGTTGTAAAGTTTAAAGACAAAAAAATAAGTAAATGTAGTAATTTGGTGTTAAAAGCAACATTTAAAATCTCTTCCATACCATTTTAACTTATTTTTATGTAACTACAAATAGATGAATTAGGCTGAGCTCCATGGAATTCTGAAGTGTTTTCACTACCTGTAAACTCAGTGCTGGTAGAATCCTGTTGAGTTGCAATTTATTTCATTTGTACAAAAATAAATAAATAAATAAATATATATAGAGAGAGAGAGTTCAAAAATCCATGAAGCAGATCCCTAGAAATATTCAGGACAGTCTGCTATAGAAGCACTATAAGATTCCAAAATGATTCTGCTGGTTCATGTCATATGAGAGTTGAGTGCTGCACTAAGGTGTGAGATGACAGTCTCTGAAAAAAAAACAAAACAAACCCAAACCAAAACAACACCAAAACAAAAAACCAAATGTCCAGAAGGACAATAAAGTTCTCCTACAGCAAGTCCATTTTGGGTCTGTAATGTAGCAGTAGAGGTGCTTTCTGCAAGACAGAATCATCAGACAGGTTAAGGGGCAAATGCAAAATGCATTAATATACTTTATACATAAAATCTGTTTCATAAATTAAAACTCAGAGAGACTATCTCAGTAGCTATATTCCCAAATTTCACCAAGATACCTCACCTACAGACCTCCCCCCCCCCCACCCCTCCATTAATCCTTCTACTTTTGTCTTGTAACTGATCATGTTAAGAGTAGCTAACTAACACTAGATCTGGCCATTTAGAGTAGAACCTGTTCTCAGCAGGAGCCAATCACAAACCCTTGAGGGTTTGCATAAGAGGAGGGCAAGTAAATAGCAAGTCTCCAGAATGTGCCTCGATCTCAAACAATTCATGAATTTCCCAAGCCAGATATAGAGCCTTATATTAACAGTCCTCACCCAATACTTCCTCTGTGAATTTACCCATTGCTTTTTAAAGCCATGTAAACTTTTAACATCTACAACATCCTGCAGTACAGAGTTCTACAGTTCAAGTTTACACAACATAAAGAATGGTCATAAAAGCCTCTTCTACATGAGTTTGTGTGAATTAACTTATTAGGTACTTATGTGCATGGATGGAGCAACAGTTACCTGAAAAAAGGAGGCCAAAGAGAGGAAAAGTACATGCTGAAAATCGCATTATGATTGACGTTGGAAGGGACCTCTGGAGGTCATCTGGTCCAAACCCCCTGCTCAAGCACAGTCACCTAGAGCAAGTTGCCCAGGACTATATCCAGATAGCTTTTGAATATCTCCAAGGAGGCAGACTCCACAACTGGACAATCCCTTACAGTGCTCAGCCACCCTCACAGTGAAAAAGTGTTTCCTGATTCTCAGATGGAACCTACTGTGTTTCAGCTTGTTATCATTGCCTCTTGTCCTGTCACTGGGCACCACTGAAAAGAGCCTGTCACTGCCTTCTTTGCATTCTCCCTTCAGGTATTTATATACCTTGATGAGTTTCCCTCTAAGCCATCTCTTCTTTAGACTAAACAGTCCCAGGTGTCTCAGACTTTTATCATACTAGAGATACTCTAGTCTATTAATCATCTTCGTGGCCCTGTACTGGACTCCTTCCAGTATCCCCATGTCTCTCTTGTACTGGGGATCCCAGAACTAGACACAGAATTCCAGGTATGGCCTCACCAGTGCTGAGGGGAAGGAACACCTCCCTTGACCTGCTGGCAATATCTTGCCTGATGGATTCCATCTGGGTGGCCCCAATCATATGTTGATGCATGGGGATGTTCTTCCCCAGGTGCAGGACTTTGCCATTCCCCTGGTTGAACTTCATGAGGCTCTTCATGAACTTTTTGAACTTCATGAAGACAGTGTGTGAACATCTCCCAAGGACCAGTAAGTTCCTGAAACTAGCTGTCCTGTTGAACCCACAACACCTGATAAACACAGAACACCAAGGGGCTGCTTAAGGTCAAGGCCATGAGCAAACACTGGCATTAATAATGGGTTGCACAACTCAGACCACATACAAGAAAGTGTTCACTGCTATATGTAGATGAAAGCTATAGGATTATATATACACTGGAGTAGACAAGAGACCACTAAGGAATTTCTGAACACCTACCTGAAAGCCACTAGCATGTTGGTATGATTCTCTACTAGAGAGATGGAGTTGGCCTACCTACTGTTGCTCCAATCCAATAATTACAAGAACATGTGCACAAGTGAATTATGTTTCCTGGTGAAATCCATCAGCGAGGCCTGAGGGAGCTGGTGAATGAAGTTGCTAAAAGACACTTAGCACTTGCGCAAAGCTAAGTGCAAGGTCCTACACCTCGGTCAGAGCAATCCCAGGCATACCTACAGGTTGGGTGGAGAAGAGTTTCAGAACAGCCCTGCGGAGAAGGACTTGGGGGTGTTGGTGGATGAGAAAATGAACATGAGCCGGCATTGCGCGCTTGCGGCCCAGAAAGCTAACCGTATCCCTGGGCTGCATCAAAAGGAGCGTGACCAGCAGGTCGAAGGAGGTGATCCTGCCCCTCTGCTCTCGTGAGACCCCACTTGGAGTACTGAGTTCAGTTCTGGTGTCCTCAACATAAAAAGGACATGGAACTGTTGGAACATGTCCAGAGGAGGGCCACGAGGATGATCCAGGCGCTGGAGCACCTCCTGTATGAGGACAGGTTGAGAGAGTTGGGGCTGTTCATCCTGGAGAAGAGAAGGCTGCGTGGAGATCTCATAGCAGCCTTCCGGTATATGAAGGGGCCTGCAAGGATGCTGGGGAGGGACTCTTCCTTAGGAACTGTAGAGATAAGACAAGGGGTAATGGGTTCAAACTTAAACAGGGGAATTTTAGATTAGATATAAGGAGGAAGTTCTTTACTGTGAGGGTGGTGAGGCACTAGAAAGGGTTGCCCAGGGAGGCTGTGAATGCTCCATCCCTGGCAGTGTTCAAGGCCAGGCTGGACAGAGCCTTGGGCGACATGGTTTAGTGTGAGGTGTCCCTGCCCAAGGCAGGGGGGTTGGAACTAGATGATCTTAAGGTCCTTTCCAACCCTAACTATTCTATGATTCTATGTTTGCTATTAACACAGTACAATTACTTATCCACTGGATGGAGTTAGTTTTCTTCATAGCCGCTGTCCTGGGTTCAGAGTGAGTGAGCGGCTGCATGGTACTTAGTTGCCAGCTGGGGTTAAACCATAACAGAGGGTCTTATGGTGGTGTGTTTTGGATTTGTGATCAAAACAGTGTTGATAACACATCCATGTTTTAGATATTGCTGAACAGTGCTTGCATAGCATCAAGGCCTTCTGTTTCTCACAATGCCCCATGAGTGAGTATGCTGGGGATGCACAAAGAGTTGGGAGGGGAGGCAGTAAAAGCTGTGGAAAACCTCCTACACGAGGTAGTGAATTGCTTATTCTTGGCATGTTGAAACCAGCATGGCCTTATTGCTTGCGATCAGTATGCTGCTGAATGTGTTTCATGTCTTGTTTAAGGTTAAGCAACTATTGAAAAAAACACCAAGAGATCATCCCCAAGGCTGGATAGTTATTAGTGGCAGGGTGTGTGGGACAGTATGAAGCCAAGGAGCTGGGATCTCTTTCTAGGGAAGCAAAAGTTGACAAGGTAATTGGGAAAAGGATGCAATCCCTCAGCCTCTGGAGGCAACTCCTGTCAGCTGTGAAGGAAAGGTATCCCTTTCAAGGAAGATGTATGTATCCCGGGGAAGTGGTCAGTAATGGAGAGAGGTATCCAGTACCTAAGGGAACTAGCTGCACTACAGATGATTTATTTTGACCCGAACAGTTACCCACAGACCCAGGCCAAGCCCATTACACACCAGTCGTGGTGGAAATTCATACAAAGTGCGCCATCATCATATGCCAACTCATTGGCAATAATGCAGTGGAAAGATGAAGAGGCACCAACAGTGAATTAATTAGCTTGCCAACTGCAATACAAAGAAAACCTCTTTTCCTCCCTACGGTCTTATGTCTCTGCTGTGGAAAAACTGTCTGAACAATGTGAGAAACTGTTGCAGGAGCCCCAGCAGCAAAAAGAGGAGACATCCTACTCCCCACCATAGGGAGCAGCATCTCAGCTATTAATAGTAAGCTTTCTTCTGCTCAAGAGGAAGTATAAAGAAGGTACACACCACAGGGTACCCTGTGGTTTTACCTGTGGAACCACGGAGAGGACATGAGGAAGTGGGATAGAAAGCAGAACCATCTAACCTCATACCTCTTCATTTTTCTCATTGGAGAGCCAACCAATGAAGGAGATATTCCTCTGTGTCTCTCCCACTAGGCTATTTACAGCAGCATTTGAGAATTTTGAAAATTTTGAGTATTCTTGGGATGCTGAAACCATCCTGGCCCTATTGCTAGGAAACAGTACACTGCTGAATATAGTTCAGATCTTGCTTAGGGTGAAACAGCTATATGTGGCTACTCCAACCCCCATGAGAATCACTGCAGCTTGAAGGAGAAAAAGAGGGACTCAAACTCCAGAGACAAGAATTTTGGCTACTTTACCCCATGTGAAACACACTTGTAGTTACTCAAATCCCAGTGGAAGAACTATGGCTCCTCAAACCCCGGCGACAAGCACTGGAACCACTTCAGTCTTCACAGCAAGCACTGTAGCTACTCAAACTGATGACCAGTACCATGGCTATTCAAACTCCAGCAACAGATACCGCAGTTATTTTTACCCCCATAACAAGCACTGCAGCCACTCAAACCCCAGCGGCAACTATGGTGGCTATTCAAACTTCAGCAACAAACACTGCAGCTGTTTTAATTCCTGTGACAAGTACTGCGACTACTCAAACCCCGACAATGAGCATGACAACCACTCAGACCCTGGCAATGGGTGATATATTTGAACAAGAGAACCAACCCATGTCAGTATCAGTTGCTTCCATGCACAAGAGGAAATGGAAATGAAAACCAAATTGTTTAGTAAAGGAAGATGAAGAAGGGCCAATACCAGAACTAGAGGGTCCATTAGCAGAACTAGAGGAATCATTACAAGAAACAGAGTAAGAGGCAGAACAAGAGGTAACCTCTCGATCCCTGTCCTTGACTGAGCTGCATAATATGCGAAAAGATTTCAGCCATCATCCAGGTGAGCACATCATCACTTGGGTGCTCCAGTGCTGGGAAAATGGGGCCAAAACTTTCAAATTAGAGGGTAGAGAAGCCAAGCAGCTGGGATCTCTTTCTGGGGAAAGGAGAATTGACAAAGTGATTGTGAAAGAGAAATGAATACTCAGCCTCTGGAGGAGGCTCTTGGTAGCTGTGAATAAAAGGTATCCCTACAAGGATAATGATATATGTCACCCAGGCACGTGGACCACGATAAAGGCCTTCAGTTCCTGAGTCATTCTAGAAATGATTTATCGTAAGTTGGACACCGAGCAGCCACCCACAGATCCAGATGAAGGTGAATGTAGATGACTCATGTGGTGGAAATTTACACAGAGTGCACCATCATCATATGCAAACTCATTTGCAACAATAAGC